AAAATAATGAGATGTGAATAACACACGAGAAAAAGAAAGATTCCTTTTAACTGATAAACACATTCAGTCAACCTAGTATAGAAGTCAGCAAAATCTAAACTTCTTTCTTGGAGCTATCAAAATATTTAGTCGATTCATGATGTAATATATTTCGCAGTTTTAACTTAAACTGAAAGATGTATGTACAATTGTAACATTGAACTCTTATTTCTTCAGCTTTCTTGCTCTAAAAGCTTCTTTTTTTTTACATTTGACATTTCAGAGTATGTTTTATGTATATAAGTTGATAATATTCAATACAATTTATTTATTTAGATAAGTACGTTAGAATATTCAATATAATTTCTTTATATGCATAAATACGTTAGTAGTATTCAATATAATTTCTTTTTTGTATATAAGTACGGAGGTAATATTCGATAACATTTCTTTATGTACACAAATATGTTGGTAACATTCAATATATATATATATATATAAGTACGTTAACAATATTTAATATAATTTCTTTTTTTGAATATAAGTACGTAGGTAATATTCGATATATATTTTTTTGTACACAAATATGTTGGTAACATTCAATATATATATATATATATAAGTACGTTAACAATATTTAATATAATTTATTTATGTATGTAGGTACGTTGTTAAAATTGATTATAATATTTCTTGTTATAACTGTGTATAAAGTTAAAGTACTACTAACTTCTCTGAACAACACTACAGGAAATTATCAAACATTAAATGTCCACCTGTGTTGCAACACGGAAGTTATGTATTTATGTTTATATACTTAGGTCCTTCCTGAATAAATTAAATTTATGAAACTACATCATACAAAATGTATATCTGTCATTGCAAATATAATGGACGATTTGTCGTATATGTGTAGTAGTTTGAATTGTTAAAAAGTAGTTTACTGATAAGCGACAGTGGATTAACACCTTATCTGAGTTGATAGAGCACTCACCTATTCAAATCCTAGCCAAGTTCAAATATTGAACTACTTCAAGTTATGTTTATATATATCTATTTCATTCCTGACACTCGCGGATAAAGGTGGAGCCAGATTGTTACTTCATTTATATATATATATTTGCAAATCCTCTGGTCAACAAACGTATTTGGTGGGACACACTAGATACTGATTGCTGCGATTCTTAAAACACTTAATATCTTTAGTTTGATTTACCAAAACAAGGATTAAAAGATGGTGTTACTCAAAAATTTGTTTGTAGTTTTATGGCGCGTCAGTAACTTCAATAATAATAACAAACTTTCATTATGGATGACTGGATCGTTTTTTGTTCCATTAGACGTACCAACACAATTTCTGTGACTGTAGGCGTGTTTGTATTTCCATGACATTACTTATTTGACAAATGTTTATACTGGTGGCCACTAGGCTTCACAACAGAAGGAAATATGATTCATAATATCCCTTCATTTAAGTAAGATTTGGATTATTTTCAGTCAGGATCCTCAAGAAGACCATTTACTGGGAACATACGAGTATAATATGAAGCAGTATTGTTTGTTTTTAATTATTCACAAAGCTACACAAGGGTTATCTGTGCTCTGCCCACCACTGGTATCGAAACCCGGTTTCTAGCGTTGTAAGTCCGCAGACATCCCGCTGTGCCACTGGGGGGCATGAAGCAGTATTTTAGGAATAATATTTCAACGATTACAATGGATACATCCGATAAATAAAAGGCATTATTTCCTATGCAAGTGAAACAAAATGTATTACTCGATAACATTTCTGGTCAGATAAAATAAAAATATTACCTCCAGCATTGCAATGGATTTTTCGTTTTAGAACAACACAAAAATGATATTCATAAAGCGGAATGATAAAACATTGCATTTTGATAGTACATTTGTCTGATTCGGAGAATAAATTCCGTAGTTTCGCTAAACATGGTTGATGGATCGTTAACATAAATGTATGTATGTGAGGAATTTGCTAATCATTCTTTTGCTCATATTTTTGTTTTATTTCAATTCAGTGTAAAATTATAAACTATTCAAAGCATTAACACTGAAATAATAATTTTCGTATTTATATTTCAACGGTCCAGGCTGCTCTAGGCCTCTGTGAGTATGCACCGATAATTTTTTTCTAATCGTAAACATGTATGTATTCCACTCATACCAAGAACGAGGTAGTTTTTTTTGTCATTTTTAAGGACTATGCGTCCAAGATATTTCTGTAATGTGTACTTACAAACACACAGTTGTGTGTGAAAGTATAGGAATACATGTAAAAGGTAAGTCAGTAATTACCCGATATCGTGACAAACCTTATAAAAGATACTAAAGTAAAAAAATTCACGAATGTTGTTTGTGAAAATTCATTTTAATAATCAAGAGACTGTGATATTTTTTTTATGTATTATACCATGTGGAGAATTGCACGTGAATTTGTTATATTTCATTGCTTTTTAAAAATATGGCGCTCATGAACGTTATACACTCTACAACAAAGAAAATTACGTTTCCCTTTGTAGTTATATATATATAAAAGCGCATTAAAGTATGCCAATTGACCTTTCTGTTTTATTAGCCGATCCTTTAGTACTGTTGTTTGACAGGTTCTGACCGAACAGTGCGATTTGACTATCACCGTTATAAAATAGCCACAGCCCCAAAGTGCGGAACAATTTTTTTTTTTTGTGCGATAACTAGACGCGAATCATGTTACACTCGGAGTTGTTATTTTTATCAAGTGTGTAGAATAATAGTAATATTCAAAATTTTTTAAACTAGGAGTTCCTAAAAAAATACAGGAAACTAAACCAGTGTTGTGTATAAACGAGAAGCCAGCTCGACAGACTTTTGGTTTTATTTTTTCAGATAGCCTAGCAGTATAAAATCTTACTTTATGCTTATTTTAAATTTATAAAAGTAGCTTCAAAAGTGACAATTAAACAGAAAAACTTCGGTACGGAAAACTAAACTGTACTTGAAATACTTATTACCTTATTGAGAGTCATGAGAACAAACTATTGTTCTTCGAGGAAATCATGAGAAACTCTTCACACCGGATATGGAAAGTTTCTGAACATTTGTTCATGTTTGAATCTGTCATGAAATAACAAGAATTACAACGTAAGAACTTTATTAACCCTATCTTGGAACAGACATCCACATGGATATACTTAAGTTTCTGTTTAACAAGCTACAGATTCAATATTGACTGTTGCTAAAAATGTGAAATATTACTTGATTATGCTCCACAATAATCTAGAAGTTTCTCGGCTGGACGACTCCCACTGCGACCTCCCATTATCTCTACAAGGATGGTTCATAACAAAGGTGACATATGCGCCTCTAGGGCTCAAAAAAAAAAAAAGCAGGCTCAGTGTAGGCAGCACATGACCCACCATTTGAGAAACACTATTCTAGAAGTTATCCATACATAATGATAATTCGATTTGTCATCACAGCTACTGAAAGTGGTGAAGTTGGTATCAACGAGCACTTCTTCCGATTCTTGCCACTTGAAAATACAGATAGTGCTGGTACGTAGCATGATCAAAGTTTTTATTTGAAGAAATTGTGTTGGCCCTGGTGCTAGCATGATAAACGAGAACAATGGTCTTCAAAAAATAAAATAAATACAAGAACGTATTTGTACGATGCAATACACGCGCTCTGTATCTTGCACCGAAACGATGCAACCGACGTATCACCAAGGCAGTGATGGTTTTCGAGTTGATTCAAAATATTTTTTGTTTTAACTTATCGTTGGAAAGTATTGTTACACATTTCTCTGTTAACTATGAAGCCACTGAGTAACATGTTATGTGGAATAATTAATGCTGCTTGTGCAAATCGAAACCGTCTACGATACTCTGGTCTACAATTCAAAAAACAAAGACTACCTTCCCAAGGGCCAGTGGAACAAAATCACGTTCTAAAACGAAAGCAGCCACTGCCGAGATGCTACATTTTAAATGTGTGGTTAGTCTTGTAGTTATGGCACGACTTGCTGAATGAGATAAACTTCTCCAGTAAGAAGCTGCAAGAAAGCTATCTTAATACTACCTGTCATTTATCCTGCATCCACAAAAAACAAAAGATATTAGTACAGGACCGATGAAGACTTTGTAAAAGCATTAGTAGATGCAGAGAAAATGGAAGTCAGTGGAAAAATTTCGCAGGAAAAGTAGATTCGCTCACTAAAAAAAAAAGATGGTTTTCTTAAGAAAGTTGTGATGAACCTTTACCCACAACAAAACTTAAAGGTCAATTAAATTCTAGAAAAAGATATCTCGGCAACAACAGGAATACAGCTTGTTGTCCAGTTTTCTTCGTTACTAGCTGCTAGAAACGAGTTCAAAGTATGAAACATCTAGTATTTCCAAATCGACCTTTATCAATGGCAAGACAACTAAGGTCAAACTAACATAACTATCCGACAAACTGCATGGTTCCTCACGGAGAGTTATTAAAATATCGTAACAAATGGGCAAGAAAAAGATTAGCATCGTCTTTTCCCAACACGTTTGTCGTCTTATGGCTCGCCCATCCCCACTGTGAGTGAAACTTTTCCCAACAAAGATAGATTAAATCCATCATGTCACTAACAACACTAGATGAATTGGTAACCAGTTCGAACAATTTGTTTGAACAAAACGTTGACTACCTCGTATTTCTTGAAAAGATTAATACGTACAAAATAGAACAAAGGTATTCAATTTTTCTATTGATTAATGTTTAGTTCACGTTTGTCAAGACCTTAGGACGAAAATAAATTATTTACCGATGTTTCAACACAAGATACACATTAGGAACTATAATGTAATGGCAAATGTATCGACTTGCATTAATTGGGTGGTTGTTCAGCCCAGTGCATCGCCATTAAATACTTTGCAATAAATCTAATATTCACGGAACTTATTACAATGCTTGAATTACTTGAAACTCATTTAATAAAACAAAAATTGAGTAGGAATTGATTAACCGCAAGTACAATATAACAGACGTCGTGGTAGTAAAAAGTTATCTTTATTCTGTACGTAATTTTACTCAAAACACCTTATAAAACACGTTTTTCCATGCGTGTACCAATTGAGATACACGTGACTACTCTGCTGGGGTACAATATCCAATTTCATAGAAAAAAAAACCCGAGAAAAATACTGCACTGTGGACCCAAATATTCTTTTATTACATATAGGCAGGAGTCGAAAACTAATATACAAAAGATATTTTATTTCGGAGACCTCTCATTTGTTAAATAAAAATAATATTAGTGCATTTACTCAAGTAACAGCATGTGCCTCCTATATTACTCAAGGCACTGATGAAATTCATTTCATCGCTTCAAGATAAAAAAACGACTGTTTTTTTTCTTTAGGTTTAGTTACATACAAAAAAATACGACTTACTAAAAATGACTTGTGCATTTATTACTTGTGATGTTCCCATAAAAAAAAAGTTTACAAATACTGTAATGTTAGGCATGAAAGGTCAAATACCCACCTATTATTTTAGCAACTGTCACCATAAGACAAAAAAAAATGTTTTCTATACCTTTATCAGTTATCAATACAAACTTTTGTCATTTAAATAAGAGAAACTGCCTAACATTGCGTCAAGGACAGAAGGACGTGTGGAGTTTTTAATTCAAATTTTATAATCACTTACTGTTAGCTGAGTAATGATTAATGTGCTCCAAATAACCTGAAATACATCTGGAGGATTGCACATGCTAGTTAGCTCTTCATCTCAAGGGACCTCTTGTGTAGCACATGTATTAAGGCAATATAAAAAAACAGACAAATATAGAAATATTAATATTTAAAAGATGCTACTGCAGGACATTCAACCATTTTAAAGTCATCCTCTTCGTTTATTAAAGATGAATGAATTAAAACATTTGGTAAAGATCTAAATGCTAAAAAAACAATCTTCATAATGCAACTGTTTTACTGAAATTAAGTACTTTTAATAATTTCAGAAAAGTTAGTCTTTTTAAGTTTTTCTTAATACAATATACTTCATACCATCACCCTTGTTGCAAGTATCCTTTAAATATTTTTGATATAATAAAAAACAGTTCATTTTTTCCAGACATTTATGAGATATTATGCTTTTTTACATTTAACATACAATATATGCGAGTTTTAGGATCTAACTACTTCAGATAGAAGAATACACTATGAGAATTACCTTCTTATGAAGTTTTATACATTCTAAAAATCAAAACTCTTTTGAATGTATCTTTAAGATAACATTTACACTATTGTGTATAATAATAATGTATACACTAACTGATGTGTTTAAAGAAACCATTTAAAAAAAACAAATGTTTTTGAGTAATGCAGTTGACATGTACAATTCCAACTCCTGCCTCTTTTTTCATGTACAAAATCATTTTTCTTCAATTAAACAAAGTTTATAAGACTACAGATGAATGAGTCAACATCATGCTAAAATTTCTATGTCTTCTTCTTCTTCTTCCTCCAGAAGCTCTGGTGTACTTAAAGAAAGGATTTCTTCACGTATAAAAAGACCACTTTTCCGTTCTTTCAAACGCTGCCGGTGTTCTTTTCTTTGTTTCTGTTTCCATGCTTTTTGAAATTTTCTTCTCTCTTTTGCTTCTTTCTGTTCGGATAAAATAAAAATAAATAAATCAGGAAATGAATTTTCCTGGATGTACTAAAAAGAACTTGAAAAGTTGCTACATATTTCAATTAACAATAATATATGAAAAACAAGGCTTTATTCCAAAGATTTGACATAAATACTGGATCTGCTTTCATTTTCTGTAATTTTTCAACACCTTTTATTCTCTAAATAAGAAAAATATTTAAAAATATACTAAGAAGAAAATCAAATTTCATCTACTGATTACTAAAAATTCATAGAATCTGATATTAATATATCATCAAAAACTTCACAAAATTTATAGTTATTTGACTGTAGGTACTTGTAGTGTACAAGTGTTTTACTTAAAACATTTAAAAGGATTATCTTATTAGACTAAAATATCTAAATCACAATGTTTTTACCATAAAAGTATTTGAGTATAAACAATGCTTTACTTATAACATCATACAAGTTTACAAAAAATAATTGTCTTACTAAGTCTAAATTACAAAATAAAAGAAGGGGGACTACTAAAATCCTTTTGAAGCTGTTTGGTCTTGGTTACAGCTTTCATTAGAAGGTTAATTTGATTTCTGAGGTAAAAAGACCATTACATCAAAATAAGTATTTGTTTTTGATCACTTCCTTGGTAAAAACTACAAACCTTTGAAATGTTCCGTGATGATGTTGAACACTGGGAACTACTGGTACTGTGGTCAGAATTTACTGATGGGACATTTGACGTGCATGGAATATCTAGTGCATACTTTCTAACATGCTCACGTAGTCTTTGCAGTTTAGTGTCATTTAAGCATCCAAGATCTGTGATGGATCAAACAAGAATTTCCCGTGACAACATCAATACAGAGAATTCATATAAACTTTTAACATTTTAACAACTGTGAGCCAATTAAAAATGAAATCCGACATAATTCTTGTATAAGAGAGAAGAATGTAATATAACACAAACAGATATTATCTAGATTGGAAAATGTTTTGTACGTTAAGCAAAATATCTTCACAATAATAGTTGCCCAATTTATATTGGTTTGGACTTGTTTTGACAATGAGTACTTCAGAACGAAACATATCGCAGCTTTTAAATGTTGTAAATATTTGTTTTATATCTAGAAAGTTTTCAATTTTAATCCATGGAACACATATTTCTTGGAAATTTGACCCTTTTGTGCCACTCAAGTCACACTTGTTCTGTGTATGTATAAAATTTGCAAATGGGATGTATGGATCCCATTATCACAATCTTATAATCACTTACTGCATTTGTTTTTTTTGAAAAATATTATTCTTACTTATCACTTATTTATATGACTTACAGTTGATATTTTGTAAACTGGTAGCAAATATTTTCATATAAATTCATGAGAAAAAAAACAAACCTAAATTATGGGCATGCATAAGTAACAAAAAGCTAACTAGAAAATTTAGTGTATGATATAAAAAATAAATATCGGTTCAAAAACTTCAATGTATTATGAACAAAAGTCTAACCCTAGTAATTACCAAACTAAAATGGATGTTTATAATTTGAGTGATTTATCTTACCTATCACAAATTCTGTATCAGCAGGAGAAACAACAGCTCGTGGGTCAATGATACGAATCACCTCTAACTGTTCTCGAAGGCCCATCTTCTGACTTATTATATTAGTCAGAGCTTCAATTGTGGCAAGCTGTTCTTCAGCCGACATTCGAGACCTTAAGTACACACACCTACATTTTACTCTTTTTTTTCTACTGTATAAATGCAATCTACATAAATATTATATTGTTTGACTAATTAATTTTCCCAAAGTACTGAATAACCTAACTCAAATTCATTAAGCCAATAATTAATACTGACATACTAAGATGATTATAAACATTTTATACAAACAGTGTACTTTCTATAATTCTAAAACAGTATCAAATAATACTTATATTTACAAAGCTTAAATTTTAAGGATACCATAATTGTAAAGTAAAAAGATTAGATATTACTCAAAAATGTCTTGCAAATCTTCTGTGATTTTCTCCTTAGAACTCTCCAGCATAGTAAAAAGTTTTATTATTATTTTCAAAATCATGTTTAGAATACATCTGGTTGGGAAGAATATTTTCTTTATCATCAGGAAGACAACAGCTGGTCTTATCCACCTAACACTACAACAGATATCAGTTATTTTAATATCATTAGCAGCTGCATGCCTGCTAGAAATTGATATTAAGTCTTTGGGAAGGAAAATGTTTAATAATAATCAGGCATCGGTGTTTTGTAATTGTCATATTAATTCTGTACATATTTAATGGTACTGGCACCTTCAAAAAAATAAATAAGTAAATCGTACAGCATCCTCACAAAATTCCTAGACTTCAGTGTAAACTATACTTCATTAATATTTTAAGCTGAATTTTAACCCTTTCAAGAAAGTTCCTTCAGTGTTTGTTTACCATGACTTTGAAGATGACAGAAGAGGTTTAGGAGATCTGGAACATTTTAAGTGAGATACAGGGGAACATGGTAAGTTTGTATTAACATCACAACTGTCATTAGACACACTAGAGTCAAGCTCAGATGCAGGCAGTTCATTTGTCCAATCAAAAGTCTCCCAGTCAAGTTCACCTGAAACAATACAGACTTATTATATCGGGTGAGTGCAAGATGTTTACATATGCTAAAAACATAACAGATAACTAGTGAATGACTGAAGGCCAGTTGATTAATTCATCTAAATGAGCTTTGAAGGAACTAGAATTATATATGCACACTACATATCTAAGTAACCTATCACAGCAATTGACCATATAAAGGATGAATAACCTACTCTGAGAACAAATGTTTATTTAAACTTTCAGAGGTTATAATAATAATAATCACAAACAGTCCTAGACACCCCTTCCAATGTTATCCATCTATAAATAAAACATTATTTTGAACACCTGAATCATACATTATTCTAAATTTTCGTAAGTTTCAAAGTTTACTTCTAGACAGAATAAACTTTTTCATTCTTGAAAACAAAACTGTTGTAAGCAGTTCCCATTACTTCGTTAACTTTTCTGACCCAAAAACTAAATACTCTTTGGATGATTTTAGTTGTATAAATTATTACACCAAAGGAATTTTTATATACACCCCAACACACTTCATTTAAATTCCAGATACCTTCTAAATTGTTGTTCTCTAAGTGCATGAACATATTAATAAAAATATAAACTTTAACATATGAAGCCACTTATCATGTTTCTTGGGATTCCCTTACATTAAGTAAACAATGTTTGCAATATTGAATCTGTTCAATGTTCATAAATGTTATTATGACAGGTAAAATGGAAATAAATTATCAGAAAATTAGTTATATTCAAGTCAAATTTTTATGCAATAGTTCTAAAGTTGAATTTCATTTTCTTAATCAACTACTAGATGTAAGGTATTGCTTTAAAAACTTTGATGTTAATACACTACTAATAAAAAGTATATTACATAACACAGGAGTAAGCTATATTCTAGAAAACAAGGGTTTCAAATTGATGGCACAGCAGCCATAACCTACCTGTAATGGAGGGTTCTCCCAGTATGTTTGCAGGAAGTAGCAAATCAGAGCTATTCAGTGATTGTAAGTCAGTACAACAGCTGTCTATATGAATATCTAATGGAAAGCAGGGCTCTCCAGCATCAGAATTCCCAGAGCTTGGGGTGCAGATAGGGCTGTTGGAACGACTGGAGACATTTTCTTTGTTCCTGATTTAATAATAAATTTCAGCACAACAATAAAATTAAAAACACAGAAATAAAAATCAATTTCTGTAAGTAACATAAACTTAGTCTTAATTTTGTTTGAAACCGTTCTCTCTGTTGTTGTAAGATTATAATTTATAAGTATGGTTAAAAGGAGTGGATCACCAAGAGTTTTCAACATCTCGATGAAAACACTTTTTTCTTTTGTACTTTCAAAAGTAAACTTTATCGTTAAACATATTTTTTACCTAAAAGGTCCTTGGGTACTGTCAATATATATATATTATAAAAATTTCTTTAATCTTGATGCATGTTTTTCAAAGGTGAAAAGTTTTATACAAATGAATACCTACTTAATTAAGTCAAAATCTAATTCAGCTACATGTAGATCTTCAAAAACTTGGCCATCCAGGGAAGAAAAGCTGCTAAAGTCCCGTGTGAGGAATGGATCCAAACTGTAGGGACTGAAAACAAACAACAAAAAGAAACTGTTATATATTCTTTTCACAAAATAGAGTGATTTTCATATACACTCAGTGCTCCAGATAATTTTTTTCTGTAATGAGTAATAACTCCCCAGAATTCTGTAAGCAGGAGTAATTTTAAATTTATTTTTACAAATTGTGGCAATAACATGTTATGATAAAAGAAATTTAACAAATTATGAATTATTTTATTATTTCAAAAGGTTAAATTTGGCACAGGATTAATTTAGCAAATTAAATCACCAAATGTAGTCATAATAAACATAAATAATAACATTACAACTTTTTATTTTATTTTTTTTCATAAAATTGGATCATTCATGAGTGTATCAACAGAAACTTTTGGTGGTTAGAGTGTGCTTATTTTTCAGCTCGACTGTGATAACTGTGAAGATCTTGTGTACATTTGCAGAAAGCTACAATATACCCATTAATTACTGTACTACTGTTAAAGCACCAATAGCTGTATCCATTTTTCCATGACAGCAAAACAACTTCTCAATATTTTTTAAGGCCATACGTGGCTGATTTTTGGTTGGGAAAAAAATTATGCTGGTACGGCCCTTATCTGGAGCACTTCAAACACCGAGAGAAAACATGTATGGGAATTAATTTTGAAAAAAAAAAAATTTTTTTTATTAATTTGACATTATGTATTCAACTTTTTAAAACAATAATGTGATCAGAACTGACATTCTTTGTCAAGTAAATAAGTTTTATCTGTGCACATACAAAACTTAAGATTGGAAAAAAAAACTTATTAATTTGTGTGACAATTTTATTTATAATAATAATAATTAAAAGATTAACAGTAGTTTCCGAACTCAGGCTTTATACATCTAAAGCTTCACAGTGTAACAGGAAATGCATTTAAAAGTCAGAGAAACAAACTTAAGTAATTTATGTCACACAGTTACTAAATATTGCTATAGTAAAAAAGGGTCAAAGATAGAGTTCATTAGCAAACAAAGTTAACCTCTCAATATTGTTTTGAATATTAACATCACTTGCTTTTACTTCAAGTGTCTTGGTAACAATACATAAAATAAAATCCTGTCTCTCATAGGGCCCAAAGAGAAGACAGAGGACACAGTTGAACAATGTGCTTCTACTGGGTTATCAACATGAATACCTTATTTAGTAAGTAAAACTGGCAGATCTTCTAGATTTTTCAGATGTGTGTACACTTTAAATGATCAATGTGATAGGTCATTAGATCCATTGACAGATAATTAAAGATCAATAGAAACCTTACTAAACTTCTTCAGGGTTTTAAAGTGAATCATGTTATGACTGGAGCCATATTCCAAGAAAATATTCTCACATTTTTCCAACCTGCATCTTCTTCAATAAAAATAGTTTTTAAGGAAAGTGCCTTTTCAGCACCCCCCCCCCCACACACACAC